CACACACACACACACACACACACACACACACACACACACACACACACGCACGCATGCCAGAAGAAAATGTAAACATAGTTTTGGTGTATTATTGTGTCACCAGAAGTCATAAGTAGTTGGAAGTACCTGGCCGCTTATGAGGTTTTAATCAGCTGCCACTCTGGGCAGTGTTTGCCGCTTTTTTATTTCTTACAAAGGAGTTAGAGCATTTCTAACTACTCACTCGGTTTCCGCAAAGCTTGGTCTTAGCCCTGCGCATTAGCTGGCTGCAGCTGCTGCACTGTAGTGAACTGTGGACAGCGCCCTTCTAGGTCCCACCTAGCTCCGCATGTACTCAGCACCAGAAGGGACTAGTGTGGTACTTTAGTTAACATTCTGGGTAGTGCTGGTTGGGGGTGATTAACGGGACCGTGTATGATTTGCTCATTGGTAGAGCATTTCCCTAGCCAAATTCAAGTCCCTGAATTCTGTCCCTAGCAATGCAAAAACAAACCATCCTAAGTCCACCTGTCCCCTTTAGCTAGTGAAAAGGCCAGTAGGCGTCATACACTTGGTGTTTGTGAATGTTGTCATTATTAGGATGGCTTTTTTGGTGACACTTGAATTCGGGTGCAGTGACTCTCACTGTCTGGTCTGCTGCCTGTGAGGTAATGCTTGGACTGTCCCTCTGCCCTGTCCACAGGTTAAAGTGCTGCGCAACCAGCTGGTCCTTTTCCACAGTGCCGTTGCTGCCTACTTTGCTGGGAACCAGAAGCAACTTGAACTGACGCTAAAGCAGTTCCACGTCAAGTTGAAAACCCCTGGAGTGGACGCCCCGTCTTGGCTGGAGGAACAGTGAACTCACCTGGGAAGAAGGAGCAGCGTGTTGTTAAACAGCTGATAGACTAGGTAGAGTTAAGTAGTGCTGGAAGGGTGAGGTGGCCGCTGGTGCAGTGGCTCTTGCACAGATAGTTTTATTTCTCTCTTTTCATACTGTAACAGTGAGCTATTAAATTTGATGGGAAGGTAGGTGATTTTTATGTAACGTGATTTCTATAATTCTAAACACAATAATTTTCCTTTTTAAGAAATCCTTTTTGTATTGTGAGGGCTGATGGCTATTTCTGTAGTTTGAAATATTTAATATAGATTTGCACTGACAAGATTAAAAATTCAAGGTTTTTGGTCCCAGAAATGAGGGCCAGCTATAATTTTCCAAGGGAGGTTTACATGATTTGTATCAATGTCAGATATTTTATATATGAATATATTCAACATCTTTAAAAAGTTCATGTTTGTGTATTATCGTGAAGAAAAAAGAAGCTATTTTGCAGAGTAAGTTTTATGGCGTTCTGTAGCGTCCACAGAAGGACAGCGCAAATGAATGATTGATTGGCCGGTAGATTGTTGCAGATACCTTTTAAAATTAATCTGTACCACTGTAATTTTGTTTAGATATTTTTACAGACCCAGGAATCACACTGTCAATTTCTATGAAGTGTTTAAACTCATGAATTTGACAGTGGTTATAGCAATTTTGATTTATAGTGAAGCCTTCTTAAGAGAGGTAGGTGTGGTTTGTTTTTTTTTAACATGTGAACATAGAAATGGAAATTCTTAGTTGTTTCTAGAGTAAAAATGTGTAGATGAAACAGGTAGTCTGGGAGCAGATTACATTTTGATAGAGAAGAATTTCCAAACCTTGTTCACTGCCTTCCATGTGTGACTGTACCAGTCAAGCCTTAAATCACAGATCGTGCCTTCTCAGACGCAGGAATTCTTGCCCAACCATTGTACATACGTGAAGAACCCCATGGAGAAAGTTTGCTGTGCCTGGAATGCTGGCATTCTTTTTCCTCGTAAAGCCATGCTTGAGGTGGATGGCAAAACCAACTTTTGAGTTTTTTGTTTGGTTTCTCTTGATCCCTTTTGAAGAATGGGGTAATGGGAGAATTTTTCCACTTGGATAATGACAAGATGATAAAGTTTGTAGAGGTCACAGGAAGAGAGAGGCCAGCACTGTCTCACTTGTGCAGCGCCGCTGGTCCGTGTACTCGGTTGGCCTGCCCACCGTGGGGTTCTTCAGTGATGTAATCTTGTTTAAATGTGAAGTTCCTTGGAATTTTGTCAGTATAAATGAGTATTTTGAGAGAGATCACTTTCCATGTTCATTTCTATTGTGTTGAAATGAAGTACTTAAAATTACTGTTGTACATGAGCTGAGACTGTACAATGCGTTACATATGTCCAAATGCCTTTTAGCTGCTTTTTATTAATATGCCTGTCTTGAATGCTTAATACAGTGTAATGTGATTGTAAGTCGTGAGCCTGTTTAAACTCATTCCGCCCTGTGTATTTGGACCCCGAGAGCCTTATTGTATCCTTGCACAGAGCAACTTGTGGTGGTTATTTACACTCCCCAGAGTGCGGCTCTGGTGTGGGTTCTGTGCTCTTATTAAAGCGTCTCCTGCAGTGTTTTGCTTCCCTGGCCTCCTAAATTTTAAATAACAAGTAACTGTTTGGAATTTTAGGGATTATGCTTTTCTGATCTTTAAAAAAAAGAAAAGGTACTTTGTTGTTGTTGTTGTTGTTATTTAATTTGCCAGGCTCTGTAAGTCCTTGTTTTTTCTCAATCTGAGTCTCTCTCAGGAGCTGAACACATCTAGTCTCACCAAATTGCAGCAAAGGAGCTAAATACTAATAGGCTCATGGGTTAATGATTTTTTCAGAAAAGCTGGTATAACAGTGATCCCTGAATAGAGGGCACATATGCGGGAGAAGTAAGAGAAGAGCGCCCTCAGGCCGGAC